CGTAATATACTATACTCCGTGCCTGGAACAACATTTTCACTTCAAGCGTCTCTAATATCAAAACTCACTGCTGGAAAGATTTTACTGTACTGACAAACTGTTTAGTATACATGGGAATGATTAGGAGAACAGATCAGTACTCATATACAAGTACACTTACCAGCCACTTTATTAGGTACCCTTTGCTAGTACTGGGTTGATTCTTTATACTCCGGTCGGCTGCAATGTTTAAACAATGCCCAGTTGGGTCAAAGAGGCTTCCAGGAAAAAATCCCCCAGCAGCCCGAGCTGTTGATACGAGGCACAATGGAACTATTTTTTCAGGTCGTTTACACCAAATTGTTAGCTCACAATCTGAATGTAACGTCAGAAATCAAGACACCACCATCGCATCAGGGAACATTTTTCCAGTCTTCTTTCATCTGATTTTGTTGAGCTGCTTGCAGCGTGGTCTTCTGCTACTGCTTCTTCAGACCTGGTTGTAACAAATAGCGGTCTGAGTTACTGTCGCCTTCCTATCAGCTTAAAGCAGTCTGCCCATTCTTCTCTGAACTCTAACATCAACAAGGTATTTTCCTCCAGAGAACTGCCACTGACTGGATATTTGCTCTTTTTTTAAACCACGCTAGAGATAGTTGTGTGAGGAAATCCTGTTAGATCAGCAGTTTGTGAATTACTCAGACCAGACCGTCTACCAACAAGAACCATCCCACATTTAATGTCACTTAGCTCACCTTCCTTCTCCATTCAGATGCTCGGTTTGAACTTCAGCAGGTTGTACTGACCATGTCTACATGCCTAAATGAGTTGAGTTGCTTCCACGTGACTGACTGATGAGATATTTATCATCTGTACTTAATAAAGAGGCCGTTAGTCTACACTGTCCAGAGAAGATCACACAATGAATATATCTGTGTCTATATCTGTGAAGAAAGTTTCTACGTCCTACTGCTTCAGGACAAACGGCAGAGAAAATCAAAATTTTGTGATTTTTTTCATTAAACTTCCAGTATATGTTTAAGTTTCCACTGAGTGATGAAGTGGAAAGATGAAAGTGAGGGAATAGATTATGGCAAAAAGTCATTTTCTCTGAAGTTATCTTAAAATCCTTTGCAGCAATTCGCTCAGTAATGTCGTCTTGTTTGAACGAAAAACAGCGTGCTTTTACTGAACGCTGAAAGGTCTCTCTGATTATCACCACTTTCACATGATCACATAAAAAATAAAAAGCAGCAGCGAGAGAATTTTTTGGGGGGGGGCTCAAAGCGCCTACTGGGACATGTGACAAAAGCTGTTAGACATTAGTATTGAAATGAATTTTAAAGGTGACATACAGTGCACAAAAGGTGAAGTAACAAAGAAATCTAGTTGTGGCACACTAGAGACAGGGCAATTCTGTCTCCCCAGAGTGTGACAACTGCCTTTGAAGCCTTTCATACTTCAGTGACTCTATTTTTGACTGATTGTAATCATTTGAATATATTAGCGTAAAAGTCTCGACATGCTAGCTTAAAGGTCCTGAGCCTTGGTCCTAAATTGCATGTAGGAGTGGATGTGATGCTCGCTGTTTTAAAGGAGAAAGAAAGAAAGGAAATTCCCTGTCTGCTGAGCACATTTGTCCAATAAAAGACTTGGATGACTCAATCATCCTTGAAGAAATCCTTTCCACTGGATGGAAGCCTGGCACAAATGCAATAGAAAACACAATATTGAATGAAAGACCCTTTTGCAATGGGACCCTACAGCTGTGGCACCCATTGACATGTTAATATTCTAAACTGCGCGCACTCAGCAGTCATTACTGCATTATCATATGAGTAGCCAATAGTTTCACCGCACTCATCCTCTGGACTTGACCTTGATTTTGAAGTCAAATACACACATTTGAAGCCTCACAACCGCATTCAGCTGACAAAATATGTCTGCAGAAATCCAAAATGGATTTGTGGTAGTTCCCATTAGACAGTCACCACGACACACACAAACACACAAGGTGAAAGCAGAACCAGCCATGCTATTAAAGCTGGTAAATATGCTTAAGGAAAAGAGAAAGAATTTATCAGTCATTTGCATATATAAATAGCTTGTAGTTGTTTTTTCATGTCTTTGATTTAATTGAGAAATTCACTTGGTTGCCGAGAGGTGGATTAAAAGATGTCACTTTTTTTCTGCCTGTACCCTCAATATCAAGATCATGCCTGTTTTTAAATACTGGAATTTCCCACCTGCATCCATTTTTATGGTAGTGCTACTGCAATACTGTGGGCCCAACGTAAAAACCTCCCACTGCTTTGTCAAAAGGAAAACAAAGGCGACAAACCAGCAAATATTACTATCAGTACTTTCAGACACTCCTTTACTTCCTATAAGAGGTTGCCACAGCAGATGATTCCACACCTTTGGTTTAGCACAGATTTTCAATTTCAGTTCATTTCAGTTTATATAGCACAACATAATCATGACCACAGCCATCATATGGTGCTTTGTATTGTAAGGTAAAGACCCTGCAGTAATACAGAGACGACCCCCTATGAGCACTTGGCAACAGTGGGAAGGAAAAAAATCCCTTTAACAAGAACAAACCTCTGGCAGAACCTGGCTCAGGAGGGCTGCACTGTAATTTTACACTGGATTCCCTTCCTGACACAACAACACCATTTATCTAGGCTTTGGACCAACACTGGGAGTACACTAGCTTGTGACTTCTCTGAGACCAGGTTGGTATTTCCTTCTTGTCTCTAACCAGCGACTTTTTATATGTTCGGCAACCTCTACACCATGTAGCTAACGGTACTCAGGTTGATAATGTAGCCACGATCAGTAAAAACACACACCATGTGTCTTAGATATGTACAAAACAACAACAATTAAAAACAATGAGATAAAGCCTTAACTATACGAGGTGTCAGCTAACCACCTGATCCTTCAGGAAGTTACATCAGCGATGTAACCCACTACATATGACAGTCTTAATCATTTGGCTTGTTTAAGGATTAAACAAATGGGATGTTAACTACCGAGCTTTAGCGACGACGTTGGGTGGCAATTGTTACCTTTGGACAAACCAAGGCTAGTTTCCTCATTTTCATTCTTCATGCAAAGTTGAGCTAACTGGCTGCTGGCTGTTGCCTTATATTTACCAGACAAACACAGGAGTGTTATCAATTTTCTCATCAAACTCTTGGCACGAATGCTAATATGCTATTGCCCAAATTTGAGAGATTACTTTAAATTACCTCCCTCGAAAATAGAAATCAGGCAGCCAGATAAAAATAAAATTATGTGTTTGAGGGGATAAAATACCATCACTGCTGCGTTAGGATTAGTGTGCTTACCTTTCAAATAACCAGCATACACCTTGTGCAAAGAGTTACATGCATTACCTTGGAAAAATCCCCAGTGACTGCTGTAAATCAAAACTTCATGACCACCAGGGAGGGGCGAGCAAGTGAGCATTTCTGGCCTTGTTGAGCTGAACTTCACAGAGGTATTAGATACTTTAGTATGTAAAGGTTTAGCTTTTTACAGAGTTCACCAGCAAAATGTGATTCTACTTGTGCAATGTTGCTTGAAGCCGAAGCAGCGCATTCCTAGCATCTTTCATCCGCACAGATATCCTCCAATAGCGATCTGAAAGATGCAGGCCGCAGCTCTCTAATCAGTATTCCTTTCTTAGCGGCACAACACCAAAACATTTCAAAACACAAGGAATTGCTTTTCATCAATCACTACACGACAAATCAAACACTAATTACAATAGCTGCAGAAATTAGATCAACAAATCGTTTGTCCTGTTCATATTATATATTTTTTCTTTGTACGGCCTCACATTTTCGCCACAGGCCCACAAGAAGAAATTCATCATGTATGCAAGCTAGAAACCAGATTTATGGATATAAATTCTGTTGGCAGCGTGCCTCGACGCCTGCCTGGAGGATAAGGAAAGTGGATTTTGAGCGATCATAAATCCACATCTAAACAACCTTTGACCTGTCAGAAAGTTTCCACGTATAGCACACGACACGTGCGAACGGGCTAATAGCAGATAATAAGAGGGATTCAAGCGTGCATTTACTTCAAAACACAACAGGTGGAGAGAAAAAAAGCAGACAGCAAAAAAAATGTGACAGCTGCGAGGGAGAGACTGTAGGATGCCGTTTTTCAGCTGAATCTCTCGCGTTGGGACGAATACCCCTTTTTATTGCTCATATATGCTAACACTAGTGCTGCCTGTGTGTCTTGCTCAACGTGTGAACATTTGCCTCCTGGCACGGGTTCATTTTTCTGTCAACACAGTAAACCACACACACACACACACACACACACACACACACACACACACACACACACACACACAAAGAGAATACGTAAGGGAGGAGATGATGGGGGAAAATAGCAAACCAGTGCAGCTGATAGCTTCATAATAGCATAACAGCCTTGACCTGTAACACCCACTGTCCGTCAGTGGCCTGCCTCTATTCTGTCCTTCCTTTCACTGCACCAGAGCTGTATTTTCAAACTGACAGTGAATACATGGTTATATAAAGCAGAGATTCTTAATCTCTTTCTGGTTTCAGGGACCAAAAATGTCTCTTTGTCTCAAAGAATGGCATCGCCTACTTGGGCTCCACTTAAACCAAACCTTTCCGCAGTAAAACAGAGTATAATACTCCTCTCCTCTCCTCTTTTTTTTTTTTTTTAAACAAGATCAGCTATATCCCAGGGACTGACATGGTCCCCCTACCCTCTGTTTGAGGTGTGTAACCCAGATACAATCAATACTGTAGTGCCGGGAGAGGGTGTAAGAGAAGACAGCAGGAAAACGAGACACGTGGAAATATGTCAGCTCCCCCTCGTGTGCAGCTGCAAATCCAATGAGATGTGAAACATCCACATCACAATGCATGGATTTCAAGAGATATTTTTTTCGCCATGCGCCACGTCAGATGTCAGCGTTCTCATCACACACACACATTTTCTTCTCTCTTTTTTTCATCAGTTGTCAGTGTTTCTTTTAATTATACAGTCACATAGAATTCCTAGTATCCACATTATTACGTCTTTACACAAACAGTCCATACAATGACAGCGGTAATCAATACAAAATATGTTGAAAGTCAACATTGTTACTTCTTAACACACACACAAGGCCTTCTGTTGGACCTGACAGATTTGTACAGCTTGGAAAACGTCAGTCCTGAGATTCAGACTCATGGGTATTTAAATACTGTTCATCTGTGTGGCTTTTCTCACAGCAAATCAAATTGCACACATATTTTTTCTCTTTTTTTCTGTAGTCAGGACGGATCCTTTTACAGGAGAAAGAAGCATCTAAAGTAAAGAGAACGGCCTCATGCATATGATCTCAGGACAAGATTGTTCTCTGTGATTGCCCCCCACCCTTGTCCATTTTTATGGTACTGCTACTGCTATACTGTGGGGCCCAATGCAAAAATAATTTAACTGGACAAAAACTATCTGTGAGAATAAGGTGCAGTCCTATTAGTTCATCCCCATAGCACACTCATATACACACATACACTCAAAGGTATTGACATTTATCCAAAATGCTTTACAAGCTATATAATAGTAATAAATAAAATAAAAAAAACAAAACAGTTGCAAGTAAAAAGTGGCTTTGTTGGCTCGTATATTCTATGGCAATATACTCTGACTAAGAATAAGGTCAGTCTCTCTGTGGAGCTGACTTTCGCGTTAGCAAAGATCCAGTCTTTTTGTAAGGTCAGACACAGCTAACCCGACTGACCCTGCCACTGTTCTTGTGTCAGTCAGGGCGATAATTAGCTCTCCAAATATATTTCTCCATTCCAATCTTTTCTCTGCATATAATTATATTGTACTATGCCCCCCAGTATTTTATTCACTGCTGCAGAATCTATCATCTCATATTAGAGATAAAAACCACTTAATCTTTTTTTTTGGAGGGGAAACAAACCCTATCTACCTCTGCTTAGCAATTGCACTTTATATCTCGTGTTTTAGTGGGCAGCTCAGACCTCGCATTCTATTGATCCTGATATAGTGCACGTGCACGGCCTTGGCTCGTTCACCAAGGAGTCCATTGTCTCAGAGTTTGAGTGGTAGCTCAGATAGTACTCTTGCAACTGAGAGTTAAGGTCCTGTTCCTGCTTGCGGGCCTTTTTTCTGCGCTTATGGTTGACTGAGTGCTGCTGCAGCTGCCTCATGGTGTTGGGGTAGCGCCTCCACGAGACATAAATAACCAGCAGAATCAATGACACTGACAAGAACAGGGCTACGCTGCCCGCAATGATTTTATGGAAAGCCATATGTTCAAACTGTAGCTCAGGGATAAATGATGTAGGGGTTTCGGGGGAGTTGTGGGCTGTAGAGCTCATAGTTGTGGATTCTGTTGTCTCTCTGTCTGTCCTGCCAGGCTGGTCAGGCGAAGCGGTGGACGTCTGTGCAGCCAGGTCTGTAACATCAGAGGGAGACGGGGGAGCTGTGATATTCACAATTTCAGCTGAACCCCTAATGATGAAAGTGGTCGAGAACACATTTAACATGTCTATGCATACTGAGTGGTTTCTCACTACGTCCACCACTCTTTCGCCCTGCACAGACTTGGGACTGCTGCATATCATGCTGATGTCTTTGGAGTCTTTGAAGGTTCTCAGCCATGTCATGAGAGGGCAGATGCTGGGGCTGCAGTCCCAGGCGTTACCTGCCAGGCTGATGGTGGTCAGCGAAGTCCATGCTGCCACAGCCTCCACAGGCACGCTACTCAGCTTGTTTGATTCGAGGTTCAGTATCTGTAAGTTTGGCATGCACTGGAAAACAGCGGGATCCAAGATTTGGATTTCATTCCCCGAGAGGTCCAGTTTCTGAAGTTTCTGCCAAGTCCACGGCACACCTTGATTGATGAATCGTATGCGGTTCCATTGCAAATAAAGAGCCTGGAGGTTGCTGAGGCGTGGGAAAATAAAGAAATTAATCCTGGTAAATTGATTGTGCTCTAAATGAAGTTCCCTCAACTTGAACAGCCCCAAAAACGCGGTGCGGGTGAGGCTCCGCAAGCGGTTATAACCCAGGTCGAGGAACTCCAGGCTGCGGCATTCCAAAAAAGTACGAACGAGGATCTGTTTCAGTCCATTGGACCTGAAGTGGAGATTCTGTAGCTTGCGCAGCCCGTAGAAATGTCCGGGATGAAGAGACTGCAGCTGATTATAGGATAAGTCCAGATTCCTCAGGTTTGGTATGGCACTGAATGTGTTGTTGTGCAGATGGGATATTTTGTTTGAGCTCAGGATCAGTTCTTTCAGCCTGCGCACCCCGTGGAAAGCTAAAGCATCTATGGCAGTGATTGAGTTGTGGTCCAAGTAAAGCCACACAAGCTGACCGAGATGAGCGAAGTGGTACGGCAGCAGAACCTGCAGGTTGTTGTAACGCAGAGACAGACCTTGGCATCCCGTGGTGATGTTTTCTGGAACGTCGTGGAAGATGCCTGACTCACAATAAACGATCTTTCCCTCGCAGCGACAACTCACGGGGCACATCCTCTCCCCCTTGCTGAGCAGCAGCAAAACAGCTGCTTGCAGAAGAAGACATGATAACCGCCAGTCCAACATCACAGAACCTGTTGGAGGTAGAGTGGAGCACAAGCAATCAAAGAGATGACATGGTTTAAGAAAATGCCTGCTCAAGGACGCTCAAATAAGTAAAGGCAAAGAATTCATCCTTCAAACAGGAGATCATGGAGAGAGGAGCAGCTTGAGGTCTGATGTCTCAGACTCCAGACCTGCTTCATGAAGAATTGATAACAGTCTGACGTCAGCTATTTTTAAGGTATGCATATGTGATCATATTCGCATAAAGAGAAAAGCAAATAACAGTAATTATTATTAGCTTTTCAAAGACCAGACACGTAAAATCCTGCTGAAAATCCTCCTTGCTTATCCTTAGGTAATAAATAAATAAATAAATAAATAAAAGCAAAATTCAGTTTAGGAACTAAACAGAAATAATAATAATAATAATAATAATGATCTGCCATTAAAAACTGATCACTGCCGTCGTCTTGGCTACGAGGAGCCTCAGGAGGGAGAAACTGTGTCACTAAATTGTGAGGAACATAATGACTTACCCATGGTTACCGAGGGAAGGAGTAATCCTCTAGGGGGGTTAAAAAAAAGAACGATAAGAGACGCGTTAAACTGCTCTCAGTCGCAGTTTATGCGGCTTCAGAGTTGCACATTGAGCATGACTTGAGCAGCAGAAGCAAGTTTTCCGCAGCGGTCCAAACCCCCTGATCCCTGCATGCCGCTCAGAAATAGGACGCCTTCACACCTGGGTCGTACTTGGAGTCGCCACTATAGTCCAGTCGGCTGTGTGCGCAATTACCCATTTGAGCGCCAACAGACTGATGCACAATCCTCCACTCTGTGCTCTCTCTCTCCCCTCTCTCTCCCCTCAGAGGCGTAGGCGTCTCCAAACACACATACAAGCTCACCTCCAGCCACGCATGCCTAAACCAGCTATTAATTAATGAATTAATTAAAGCAAAGTATTAGTATTTTTTTTATCTATTAATTGCTCGTATTTTTTTTTTTAACCTGGGTTGAATTAAAAGCTACCTAAAATTACTTCTAAAAATTAGCTTTGAAACCAAGCTTTGCATTTTTTTTATTTTATGTATTTTATTTGTATTTATTTATAGTAAGATTTCACCTCGTTTACTTGCACCGGTGTCCTGATGAGTGCCGAACATGATGATAACAGAGACAACAAACGGGGGCGGGGGTGCGGGTAATCAAAACAACAAACTGTGGGCTGGTGGTGGAGGTGGGGGGCTGTGATCCACATCCACCATTCATTCAGCACTTGGAATCATTCATTCAGGAAAACAGAAAAAAAAATCAAGTAGTGACAGAAAACGTGTGATGAGTAGCTTGTCAAAAATGCTAATTATTCTAACAGCTTAAGTGTGATGTTGACACTTTAACGCAGATAAACAGTCAGCACCTCTTGCTGGCTAGAAATGTTCCAGACAGCGGGATTATAAATGGCCTTTATGAAGTGTGCACTCAACAGACGGCAGAGGAACAAAAGGGGAAACAAAACATACTGGAAGTGGGAGGGGATGAGGGTACCTCTAATTTTGTGGTTGTTTCACGCTCATCTTTCATACTCTGCTAAATCTGCTTAGAGCACGCACTCACCTCATTGGACACAACGGCGTGGAAAATGCACAGCAGTCGGAGAGTCTTGAGTTGTAAGGTGTGGTAACAGCAACCCCTTGTGCACGCGGAGGGAAGCGTATGGCTTGCAGAGACCTGGAAATTCACCAGTTCAGCGAAGACTGGAGAGAGATAGGTAACCAACCAGATCACTTGTGGGTAACGAGAGCAAGCTGATGAATTCATATTCATATTTGTAATATTACTGGGAAAGCAATATTTCCTGCCATCCCTGTGGAGCGCATTAAAGAGAAATGTATTTCTGCTCTTTAAAGAGAGGGTTGATTATGTCTATAGTGGCACACTTTGTAATTAAATGTCATTTAAATGCATTTATTCAACTCATAGATTACTTTTCATTTAGGGGGCAAAGTGCTTGCTTGACAATTTGTAACATTAAGGTGGAAGAAGTGCCAGTTTCTACATAAATACTATAGAGAAAATGAAACCTGCTCTCAGCTAAGGGTGTGAGCTGTGCTGTTTGTCAGTGATGGTGCCAGCTTCCACAAACAGGTTATCAGCCGGAACTCACTTTGTATATGGCAAATGACTCCGTATGCACGCCGACTCCATCTTCTGTATTGACAGTATAATTGTGGATGTCATCAGATGTGACAACCGCTATCTCTTAACTGCCAGTGACAGCAGACGAATCCTCCTCTGGGCCATTTTCAAACCCGTTCTCAGAGATCAAAAATGCGAGCCCGCCTTTTCAAAACGATGCTAATAAACAGGATGTTACAGCGTGGAAGATGAAGAAAAGTTGGGCTTTACAGGCATAAGTTTGTGTCTGAACTGACTTGTTAAGAGCCTGCACTGTGCCACATGTGGACTGCACAGCGAGTTGCATGCAGTCACATATTGTTGTCAATATAACGCACATCTGGTGCTCACAGGTGGAAGGATTTAATCACCCACTCAGTCAACTTTCTCTGACATTTTACTCTTCTCACTAGGCCACAAATTATCAACCATGTTTATATTCTCAAAATTGCCTCTCATGGTAATTTTGTGCCCTTCTGCAGATTGGCGACCTGTCCAGGGTGCGCCATTCATAACTCGTCCTATGACAGATGGGAGGAATTCCCCCCCCCCCCTCCCAAGACCTGGAACTGGATAAGCAGAAGAAGATGGGTAGATGTTTGAATGTAGTTGCCTTCTGTTACAGCATCACATGCATCACAGAGATAACTTGATGGCTAATTTGCCTTTACGTGACTGCTGCTGCACATATTGAAATCCACAGGAGGGAAACTCTGCAGAAAGAAACTGAGTTTCTGTTGCACTTTTCAGGCCTTCTTTTAGTATTTGACAGCTTTTTACTGCTATATCTCAAACTGCATTGAAATGAATTTGATGCCCAGGTATTCAGCGGTTGCGCGAGGAGGTTGGCCACAACGTCTCATTGCTCATGCAAACAAATGACTCTCAGTCACTCTAAAGCAGCAGGTTTATTAAAATTTTATTTGCACGTAAGGTTTAAACAACTATATAGCACTTTCATCGCAATTGGGAACAAAATGAAAAAGGTAAACAGTACACAGTGGAAAAACAAACATCTAAGTGACTGAGATCCTCAACTGCTCATTATTTACAGACATTTTCTCATTTTATCTTTTTTATTTGTTTAGAGAATACATACTCGAAATAGAATCTGGTCCTGCCAACCCTGACAAATACAGATATTGAGCATATTGTCATTTGAGACATGCCTGAAAGTAAAGCTCAGCCGCAATCCCGCCAAATCAGCTAACCTCGATGCTTGGCCACATCTGGTGATGGCTCAGCTGATGCCCTTCAGCACATCCAGCCAGAAAATTTAAACTGCTTTAGCCTGTCCACGTATGCAAGCTTCTTTGCAACCCGTCTCCACCATTCATACCAGTCATATTGCCAAATATAGACCACATATTGAAATACCAAGCTTCTTTTACTGAAATATCTTGTTTTAAAATGGTCACCCTGGTTTTACTCTATTATTAAGTATATGAGGAAGAATTGCTGTTGTAGGGAGATCAGCTGTTCGGCTGGCCTCTACAGGTCCCTGATAAGATGATAAACAGGAACAGAGTCACTGTTTCTCCTCACTGACTGGATTTGCTTTGTCGCATCACCTACAATAACACAAATCATTTGTGAGCTAGAGCACGTCCCTTTGTTTTCTTTTATATTTATATCAATACTTTATAAAACAGCGAAGCCTGTTGCCTACTCAAGTTGTCTTTTCAGTCCCCAGTTGGAAGTAGGACCGTTACATTTTTTTGTTGTGGTTGTTGATGATAGGGAATCCTTGTTGCCCAGCTGTCTCGTGTGTGCAGAGCTTTTCTATGTACGCTGCATTATGTATGAGGAAATACACAAATGAAAGCAACATAAACCATTTTTAAAAGCAGCACCTTGATATTTGCGGTGCAAGGAAAGGCTCATTTGGAACATTATGGTTGTTTGACTCAGAAATTCGAATTCGAATGCACAAGCCCATTACCATCATCTCTATAATGCCCATTACCATCATCTCTATAATGCATTACCAACCGATCCTCACAGGCCTCCTCGCAGAAGGAGAAGTTTATCTTATGCATGAGAGCAGAGTTTGAAAAGGTAGACTTAGAATATAGAGAGATGCTTTAATGATCTTTTGCTGGAGAAACGAAGCTGAAGAGTTTTGTTTTAAGCATTTTAATGACTGTTTAACCAGCCCCCCACCCCTTCGTTAAATGCATCAGTGTTACAGCTGCTGACGTTTTAGCTTGAGAAAGATGTAAAAGTAAGTATAAGCCCAGGTGAGATGAATGACTTTGCAACTTCAAATCAGCACGTAACTTCAAAACTGTTAATGAAAAGTGGCTGCACGATGGTGCGACCACTGAGCTGTGTTAGGATGAGGATCGGTTTTGGAGGAATCAGCTTTTATATACAGCAATCAGTCGGCACACGCTCTCTCTGGTGTATTAAATGGCAGAAACAAGCATGCTGTTTGAGTCACAGGAGCAGCAGGGGGTAGAGTGGCAGATGTTTTGGGACCAAGCTTCTTTCTCAGAAATATTTACTTGCTGCTAGGATGTTTTTTTAATGTTCAGGAGGTAATTAAAACTTCAAATTTAGAAGTCAGGGTCAGCGCAAATTAAATCTGTTTGAATCTACTTTGTGCTAATTATTTTACTATACATTTCTAAATCCCGTTTCAGTGGGATTCATTATGCTGCAAAAAAGCAGTTCCGCCCATGCTCTATTATTCAGGGTTCAGTCAGTCACAGACAGTCATTAAAGTTTCATAGTAAGCAGTTTGGTGGCTGAGGTATTTGCAAAGTGAGGTGAGTGCATATACCTTTTTGTTGTTTATGCCCCTGCTCTCTGAGCTGTTTAAAGTCAAAAGAAAGCCATTCTTCTGGTCTCTTATGGCGTTAACTTGTTCCCGATGACTCCTGAGGTGCCATTATCAAGCAGCAGAGAAACCCACATGATTGTCTCAGTTTGGCAAGCAGATGGATTTTAGCTTGAAAGCAAGAATAAGCACAAAGCAAACATGCAAGTGAGAAAGGCTTAAAGGAGTTGAGGTAGACATGTTCCTTTCAGTGTAAAAGTTGCCTATAAATGTACTGTGAAACTCAATTATTCCTTGCATATGCCAGTTCTCGCAGATTCCAGAAAAAGCTGAATGAAATGTGAAAGTGGGTCATGTTAGATTTGTTCAACAACATAAATAAGAAGTGATGCACAGACCACAGGAGATTTAAAGGAACCCGGCTTGGGATGATTGTACAGCAGGGACGTGCTGTGATTTAAAAAAAAAAAAAAATAGGGATAGGAATACAGGATATAACAGCTTTTTCCACCATAAACATCAAAATTTCTTCCTATTCCATACATCCATATGTGGAAAAAACTTTTGAGATGTTTGTGTATGAGGACAAAAGAGACCCCAAGGGGATCGACCTCACAGACCGACTAGAATGGTGCAGTACGTTTCACCTCAGACACGTGCAGTTTTACTCTGGATTTAAATTACTTGACACAAAAGTGGGCCACCAACAATGGGGAGAGATCTTGTGATATTATATTGCTAATATTACTCTTCTCCATTTTATTTCCATCCACCATAAAATAGATATTAAAAATCAATGTGTCTTTTAATTTTGTCTTTATAATGTATAGAAGTGAATAAATGGATGACAGGGAATCACTCTTTTCATGTCCTTACTGCTTCTCTTAGCAGACTTTCATGGCCAATCTCAAGGGATAGACGTAGTTCCACATTCTTATTCATGCACTGCAGTCTGCTAACAAAACAACGTTCCTAATCTTAAAGTTACTGTACACTCATTGGCCACTTTGTTAGCTAACAACTGCTTGTTAATACAAATATCTAATAAACCAATTGAATGGCAACAACTTGATGCATTTAGGCATGCAGACATGGGGAAGATGACCTGCTAACTGCAAACTGAATGGGATGATGATGGTTGTTGGTGCCTGGCTGTTGGCTGGTTGGAGTTTTCCAGAAAGTGCTGATATGTTGGGATTTTCTCTCACAACCATCCCTAGAGTTTACAAAGGATGGTCTGAGAAGAGAAGATATCCAGTGAGCGGCAGTTCTCTGGGAAAAAATGTCTCGTTGATGACTGAGGTCAGAGGAGAATGACTGCTTCGAGCTGATAGGAAGGCAACAGTAACTCAAATAACCACTTGTTACAAACAACAGATGCAGAAGAGAATCTCTGAACACACAAAATGTCTCAATCTGCTGTGACATTTTGATGGTAGGGTCAGAATTTAGGCATAAACAACATAAAAACATGCATCCGTCCTGCCTTATATCAACTGTTCTGGCTGCTAGTGGTGGTGTAATACTGTTTGGGATATTTTTCTGGCATACTTTGGTGCCAAATATGCATTGTTAAAACATACAGCCTGTCTGAGTATTGTTGCCTGTGTCCATCCCTTTATAACCACAGTCATCTTCTGATGGTTGCTTCCAGCAGAACAGCATGTCACAAAGCTCAGATCATCTCAAACTGGTATTTTGAACACTGTACTCAAATGGCCTCCATAGTCACCAGATCTCAATCCAATAGAGAACATTTGAGCTGTGGTGCAACAGGAGATTCACATCATGTATGTGCAGCTGACAAATCTGCAGCAACATTGTGATGCTGTCATGTCAATATGGACTAAAATCTCAGAAGCAGCACCTTATTGAATCTATGCCATGAAGACTTAAAGCAGTTCTGAAGGTAAAAAAGATATAACTAATACAGTGACCAGTTAGAGTACGTCTAAAACCTCCAAGAAGCAAACTTCATATAAGCTAAAAGGATATATTTGCTCTTAATATGCACAATATATATTCAAGATAAATACATTTAAGTAAATCCAAGAGCATAAAAAGTAGATAACAGAAAAAGTTGGTAATCCATAGTAAAAAAAAAAAGCACCAAGTCTGAACATTACTGGTGTGTAAAAAATGCATACACACAAAAGTTTTTGATTTAAGTTTATTTCCATCCTTTTAAATTCAAATTACTGCAAAACTGGGTCAGTGCTGCTGCACTAATCAAATAAATAGAACCACTGCTGTCACAAATCATTCCCCAGATAACAAACCCCACGTATAACCCTGCTTTACACGTGTACACGTGCGAGAGCTGTTTGCTTATATTACTGTTTTGCACCACATGGTGTCACACGTCTGCTTAAGAACACATAAACATTTCAGAAATGAAAGTTTGGAAGCACCATCAGATGGTTCTAAACACACAGAAGATTGTGAGGTGACTGCACAGCACACTGAAGGGTAAAAGCTGTGCTAACGTCACTGCCACTCCTTCAGTTATGTATGTGCCCATGTCAGAGAAAGTGATTGTGTATGTGTGTGTGTGTGTGTGTGTGTGTGTGTTTAGATTAATGCCCTGCCCTTCACCTCCAGTTAGCTTATCGATCTAACACTGGAAATTAAATCAGTGACTGATGGTGAAGTGCTACATGCATCCGTTTTATTTTAGTTTAAGCAATTTCTTTGTCACAAACTATTTGTGATTTGAGCTCAAATATTCATTAATGTCCATTACTGGTAATTACGCTGCTCATTAAGTGCAGGGGCAGAGGGACCCATTAGAAATGATGACTTTGACCCAGACTCAAAGTCCCATTATGAAGCCTTGAGAGCATCCTTTGTTTACCCATGATGTATTTCAGTATCACTACCAATAAAGAGTTCCTAGTGAGCTCCTACTTAATTTTTTACACTTTTTCTTGCTCATAAATGTATCATAAGACTAAAAGAGAGCATTTGGAATGCTAATGTAGTAAATGTCAACAAAACCTTTATTGCAAAATACATTAATTCAGAAAATAAATAACAAAAGTGATATGGAGATTGAGAAATGTGTAACAGATATGATCTAAAACCTGCATCCTACCTGTACAAGCCAGACTGCAGGCTGCATGTGTGATTTATTTTACCACCAACTCCTTAACAACTTCTTAACAAGCTGACCTTTTTGTTACAGGCCCACCTGCCGAAGTCCTAATTAAAAACCCACATTAACAGATTTTGCCAATAGACCCTTCGATGCAGGCTCAGATAGAGTAAAACTCACTGCATAATTCCACTTAATTACCGGTGAGGAAAACAATCTGTGCGTGGACTTCGCCAAAATAATTAAGTTTGCGTTTGAGGTCCTCGCATTTTCCTTGGATATTTATCCCAGAACCCCTCCTGCTCCTCCGTCCTCTGTTTCTTAATCATCTACTTGAAAGAAACACACGTGGCGAACCTCAAAATATGTGCAGACTTACAAAGAAAACTAAGTAGTATAAAGCGCAAATTAACTACCTCCAGCGGCCAAATGGTTCTTAAATAGCAATAATATTCAAGCAAAAGATAATGGAATATTAAACAGGACTGTGCTGTATAATGACTGCCTCTGCCTGTGATTCATATGTGCCCGAAAAAAAGACAAAGAAAATCAGGGCATTAAAGTTACATAATATTTCTTCGCTCATCTTAAATTTGGTGGGGTTTAATTCTAATGAGCGCACATCTTGTGGCACATCTTCACAAATATCCACACAAAAAGCTAACAGGCTTCCCATTCCCTCGCCTATAATTGATATTCAGGCTGCGTTTGTGATAACAATGAAGTCTACTTTAGGTTTTTCCGGTTGCGGAGTGCCACTCTGCGACCAGAAGAGGGCATCTCAAGTCCTGAAACCGAGCACCGGCGAGCTCCGTAATAATCTAACACCAACATCATTCCTGTTGCTGTACAATTGATTTATTTTTAATGCGACGGTTAACGGCTCTAATCCACAGCAGCCTGCTTCTTTCCCCCCCACTCTCTCTCCACTGTCCACGCCTGAAGCGGGATATAACCAACTTATCGGCTTTGGACCACAGTTTATCCCTCTCAGATTTCTTCACTTGGTCGTTTTCCAGTGTTTTTTCCCCCTGTCTCTCTCGCTCTGCCACTTAACCTAGATTCAACAATTGGCGACTCGGTGTTTAGACTGTTTTTTTAATAGCCTCCCACACAGGCGCTAAACTGTCACTCTCATGAGGATACGAGCTTGAGCGCATCCATCCGAGGGCTTTCGGGAGAAAAAAAAAATACGCGTTATCGAGCTGATGTTGTGCGGTAATGTAGGAAACTACAGACAGGGAGGTTGATGCACACCTTTTGGAGCTGCTCTCATCTCCGACAGGTGTGCGATTGCGAGCAGAGCGGATCCGGCTTCGACGCAAAGTGTCCGTTTTATCCGCGCAGACGGGCGTCCTGGTTAAGTGTCCAACTATTTGGGCAAAACGCCGAGTGCGTCTAAACATGTGCACCGGAGACGCATGCAACAGAGATCCCTGAGCAAGAGGAAGAGCCGACACCGAGCAAATATGGGTATGTATAGCCAAAATCTGTTCCGCAGGGTGCTTAAGGGGTTCATTCCTGCGCAGTCTTTTTTGTCTTTTGCCTAACTACAATTCACTTAGAGCTGGTGTCGCTGGCGTCTGTGCCCCCCCTGCGGTTTATGACTGATGACTGCAGGCAGGGGAATCCGAAAGGAGGCTTTTCTCTCAGCAACTGTTTGTCACATTGTGCATCATGCGTGTGGTTTATCAATCACCTTTCCAAGAGCATGACTTCGGCTGAACATAAGTGTGTGTGTGTGTGTGTGTGTGTGTGTGTGTGTGTACGCACGCCATGAATGCTCCAGTGCAAATTAAGCAGGAAAATCCCCCCCTGCAAATGTCTCAGGACATAGTGATAATATTCAGTTGCTCGACTCAAAAATTTTGCACATTCTATTTTCATCTCTTTTATTCCCTTCTAGTCCGTGTAGTCTACATGGTTCTGTGTGATACATGTTCTGTGCTCATAAACCTCTCACTTTCCTGTGTGTCTGCAGGACTTTTTGTGCTTTTCAGATGGCTTGTGTTCACTGTGGTGGTGCCCTCCTGGCTGCTTGCTGTTCCAAGCGGCATCCGTGAGCGTCCCTGCCCCCAGAGCTGTCGATGTGATGGGAAAATAATATACTGCGAGTCCAATGCCTTCCGTGACGTGCCAAACAATGTGTCTGTCGGCACACAGGGCCTGTCTTTGCGTTATAACAGCCTGGTGAGCCTTAGAGCCCACCAGTTTGCGGGCCTCAGTCAACTAGTTTGGCTCTATCTTGACCACAACTACATCAATGCCGTGGATGGCCAGGCTTTCCACGGGATAAGGAGGCTCAAAGAACTGATTCTCAGCTCCAATAAGATCACGCAGCTGAAAAACAACACTTTCCACGACGTCCCGAATTTGCGTAACCTAGACCTTTCCTACAACAAACTGCAGGTCCTCCAGCCTAATCAGTTCTGGGGTTTACGGAAGCTACTCAGTTTACACTTGAGGTCAAACTCCCTAAAAACAGTCCCGATGCGCGTTTTCCTCGACTGCCGTAACCTGGAGTTCCTCGATATTGGCTACAACAGGTTGAGAAGCCTCACACGTAATGCCTTTGCGGGACTCCTGAAGCTCATCGAGCTCCATTTGGAGCACAACCAGTTTTCTAAGATAAATTTCGCTCATTTCCCTCGCCTGACTAACCTGCGGGCTCTCTATCTGCAGTGGAACCGCATCAAACTGCTAACGCAGGGCCTGCCATGGATGTGGACTTCCTTGCAGAAGTTGGACCTCTCAGGAAATGAGCTCCAAGTGTTGGATCCGAGCACATTTCAATGCCTGCCTAACCTTCAGACTCTCAACCTGGACTCCAACAAGCTCACTAATGTCTCTCAGCAGACAGTGGATGCTTGGATCTCCCTCACAACCATCAGTTTGGCCGGTAATTTGTGGTACTGTAACCCCAACGTTTGCCCTCTGGTATCCTGGCTCAAAGTCTTCAAGGGTAACAAGGAGTTTACAATGATATGTACCAGCCCTAAGGAGGCACAAGGAGAGAAAGTTACAGATGTGGTGGAGACCTACAACATCTGTACTGCAACTCCGACCCCTATCCCCTCAACGACATTGCCCCTCACAACGGCGTTTCAGCCTGAGCTGAAACCTCTCCCCACGCAGTTTGCGGTGGATAAAAAGCTAACCTGGAACAGGACAGCCTCTCCAACTCCTTCCGAGGCCTCCCCCACTATCCCATTACCAGACACCGAGTACGTGTCCTTCCACAAGATCATAGCCGGTAGCGTGGCCCTCTTCTTATCTGTGGCTATAATTCTGCTGGTTATCTATGTGTCGTGGAAGCGCTATCCCAGCAGCATCAAACAGCTTCAGCAGCGCTCGGCGGTTAAGAAGCGCCAGAAAAAGGCACGGGAGACCGAGCGCTCCTTTAATTCACCACTGCAAGAGTACTATGTGGACTACAAGCCTTCACACTCAGAGACTATGGATGTGCTGGTTAATGGGACAGGACCTTACACATACACCATCTCAGGCTCCAGGGAATGTGAGGTATGACCGTTGCCCTCCAAAAATCCATTTCCACTGCGAGGCATAAGAGGTAAATTTTCTAATGATCTGCAGGGTGAAAAAAAATTGTTTTCTCCTCTGCTTCTGTCTGTAATAGGATAAGGACGCAAAGGGCAGTGCATGGTGACTTGTTTTGCATTATGCTGGGTTTGTTCAGTTCCATTCGATTACCCAGCTGTTGTTTTGAGTCATGCAATATTATTGCTAAAATATGATACCCATTAGCTGCGAGTGCAGCGGCAGCTCCTCTTCATGGGTAACTTACAGTAAGATGCATTACACGCAAAGTGGCTCCATCTTTCACTCCTGACACAAAACATCTCATTGATGAATCTGTGTATTCTCAGACTTTTTATTTTTCCAAAACGGCTTGCCGTCCTGAACGAACCGGTGTAAACCGATTGGATCAAGTCACTGTGCAGATGGTCCTCTCCTATCCTGTGTGCTTGCTGCCACAGCTGTAGCGGCAAACGTGCAAATCATGTGAGTCTTGATGTTTGTTTGCGACTGTCTGAAGTGTGCCAATATTTACAATCACACCAGCTGATTGTAAATCTCATTTTCTTTGCTCCCCCCCCCCAGCCTTTAGAAATTGTGTGCTTAGGTTTTTTTTCCTCATTAGTTTAACTTACAAAGTTCAAACAGTCACCACAGGCTGGGGAACACTATGAAGGCCTGCAGCCAAATAAAAGATAAATTATGCATTTGGGCTTGCATTTTTCCCGGTTTTGTGTAACGCTGCAGGAGGGGACTGCATTATGCTACTTTTGTTTAATCTCAGCACTATAAAGAAACTGTTTACTCCTGTGAAACTTTTACTCATGGAATTGGCTTTAAAATCCTTGCACTAAAACCAGACTTCCTCCACGTGACAGATTGTGAGCCCCTTGCGTGGCACTAAGGGATCGAGACAGAAAGGCTAATCAATTTGCTCGTGTTTAATTAGGCACTTTTTTGCCCATGTATTCTTTGTTTTCTCTCCGAATGCTCTGTATCTGTCTTCTTTTGTCCAGCAGCTTTTCTTTTTTCTTTTTTCTTCTTTTTCATTTGGCAGTGTGGTTAAGTGTGATTAACAGAACATGTTGTGCTGGGAAAGATGTGGAGTCACTGGAATCTTTGCGAGCACCTTTTTGTCAGAATAACCAGACATGCTGTTTAGTACGGGAGACATCTTTCTTCTCCGTTGTCTGTGTCAGCGCAGCTCAGAGACAAAGTTTTATCTCGCTGCAGCACAGCTCATTTTCTATACTCTACATGCACCATGTAAAGCATTTTATAAGATGTTTCATGTCAGTGGATTGTGCTGTAGCACCAGTTAGGTTCTTGCTGTGCCCTTTACTCAAGTCACTGTAAAAAGGCCCACACACATGTGTTTCATTGTTTTCAGAAATGTCACTTGGTACAAGGTGCACGGGTAGCTAAATCAGCTCTTTGTCAGATAATCTGTGGCAGAGCATTTCTCAAGCGCAAGGGAAGCTGGAGGTGAGATGGTCGGCTTATCAATCTTGTAGCTTTCATGTGCGAATGTGGCGTGGGAGCATTAAATGGCAGACCTAATGGGGCTTCTGCTAGCTGGAATAACTAATAGCCCATCAGAGGTAAGGAGCCGAGACTTCCCTCAGCTTTGTTATTCCTTGCCCTCTACAGCTCAAGGGAGCAGCATGAGTTGTTAAAAATGTAATGGGATTTTTTTTCTTTTCCATTTTTTTTTTTGTTTCCTCTGTGCATGTTACATTTCATGACAAACACTGCAATGCAATGTAAGCACACATGCTAGAGCCGGACACCTGTGTAACCACCTGCAGGTTTGTCGTGCTTGTTTAAGTTGCTGTAAAAATGTGCCCACTAGATCGTCGTGTGCGTTAGCTATGAACGTTGCTGCCATCGTGCTCATCAATAGTGTCTTGGGCTATTTGCATCACAATGCAGGCAAAGTCTCTTCTGACACACGAGAATTCATTTTTCAGTTTTTATTGAGAGCCACAGAGTGCAAAGTGGCAAGCGAGATGAAGGTGGGAGAGATGCTGTAAAAGGCTGCCCGAGGGCTCAAACCTTCTTCTCAGGAGCGTATTGTAAATGCCAGAATCCGCTGCACTCCCCGCACATTATTTTAGCTATTCCAGATAGCAAGCACTTAAGCTATTAGCTGCATTTTCAATTAGGAGAAAGAGCTTTGTAATTGAAGCCTGTTATCTTCTGCACATGCCCAGACCAACAGACGTGGAGTTAATTTGTTTCTATAGATTTACTCCAGCACAGCTCAGCAGGTTGGCTTCGACACTGCGAACTGAACTCGCAGGCTGTGAATTTTTATGAACACTTTGAACCGTGCGATTCTGTGGTCTTCCTGTGGCACACTATTTAAAAATTAAAAAAAAAAATAAAAACCCTCTCTCTTCCTTGTATGCTATCCACTTCTGAGCTCATAGAGCAGCTGCAGTGGTAGCTGTCCACCCACAGATAATCCCCTGCAAAGTTATTTCAGAAAATATTATGGTGAGAATCCCACCGTCTCAGCCAAAGGCAATTCTTGTACTAGGGTGGAATCTGCAAGCATTAATAAGGTGAGGAGATCCTGCTCAGAGATAATTAATGTGGCCTGTGAAAAAGGCGAGTGAAGTGAGGAGAAAGAACTTGCCGGTGCGACGGACTGACACCGCTGTTGTCCAAAAGACAAGCCTAAATAATTACTTTTAAAAATCAACTCATTTTCCAGCTGGCAGGGTTTCTCAACATTCTGATGCGTTCGAGGCCAGCACAAGCTTCATTCATGCATGAAGTTGTTCTTTTTTCCTTTCCTCACATTTGCAGTTAGTGTCCCCCTCCTGGTTATATTAAAAACTAATGGCTCCTGTGGACCTAATCAGTGTTTTCCTGGGACGAACTCTGTATCTGGGGGCGCATTTTGTTCAGCAAACATTTGTTTAATTTGTGGGCACCATAATACGAGCCCGGCCTTCGAAATGTCAGAAATAAGTATCAAGCATGATGGATGATAAACATACACTGTCTCTACTTGCCAAGATGGCAGCTTGCACTTCATCTCTGCGTAAATGCACAGAAGGCTGGCTGCCGTCAAGTGAAGAGAGTTTTGACAGTCTTTGGTATTTGTTTCCAAATAAAGGCTACAGACATCAGTAAAATGGACCAGTAAAAAAAAAAAGTGTGTGTCATTTTTTTTAACACATCACTTAGCAAACTACAGGTGCAAGAAATCCTTTGGATTCCTGCATTGATTAGTCATGAAATAAGGTGTTCACTTCATCTAAGTCACAGTTACAGACAAACAAAATTTGACTACTTAACTAATATGACTGGAATGCTTTTCCTGTCTTTATTGAACACACAGAAAAATCCTCTACAGTGTTGGGTGAAAAAGTGAGCGTGTAGAGGTTCATTTAGCAATAACAACAAGTTCCATCAGACCTTTGTGATTGATGCTGATGAGAGTTGGTCCACAGTGAGGATGACGATGGGTGATTCCACCTGTTTTTAAAAACTGTTTCAGTTCATCAGATTACACGGCCCTATTCAAGTCATGCGTACTTGGGGACACAGTGTCTTAATTTTACAGCGTCTTCTTTAAAAATCCTTAAATTTGTTGATCCTTTAATGATTTAATAGCCCGCAAACCATGATGCTCCCTCCACCGTGCTTCACAGTTCATACAATCACACATGCAGCCAAAAAAAGTTTCAACTTTTGTGTTATTTGTCCAGACAACAAAAAGTGTGTAACAAACTACAGCTTTGTAGATCAGTGGTTTCATTCTGTGGTGTGTTTCATTCTTATTCGGTGTTTTTCCTGTAGTGGACACATGAATAAAGACCTTGCCACTTGTAAACAATTCTGCAGGTGCTTTGCTTTTAACCTTAGATCTCTTTTCACATCTTTCAGGATTGCATGTTGTGCTCTTGCTGTGATCTTTGCAGGACCCTTAGCGAGAGCCAAAAAAGTCCTGACTTTCCTCCATTATCTAGACAATTTGTCTGTCTGTGGATTGATGACCACCCAGGTCTTTAGAATTGGTTTTGTAACCTTTTAACGGCTTCGTGCATCTTTATAATGCTTCTTCTAAGATCCGCTGAAAGTTGTTGTGATCGAGGAACAGCTCACACCAACCAGTCTGTCTTCAGTGCAGACTTTGTCAGTAAGCAGTCTTAGTATGGCCATATTTTTAGAGATAGGAACCTCCACAACCCACACTTCAAATCCAATCTCCTTAATGGAAGTGGAGGAGTCATTAATAACGAGGTTACTTATTGTTTCCAGTGAATTATTCCCGAATGTGTTCCTTAAAGACTTTGATTTTGTGCGTTATTAGTTTAGTCAAATTGTGTTTGTTTATAATTGTGATTTAGATGAAGATCAGGCCATATTTAATGAGTAATCAATGCATACATTATTATAATCCTAAGGGATAAAGAACTTTGAGGGTTAACATCAGTGAGTGCACACCCGACTGTACACACTGATCTAAACCTCTCACACAATAGACAACACAACACATCACTATGAAAAATAAGGCACGTGCAGTATAGCAAATGAAATGTCTTTGGTGGGGGTTTCTTTTCCTTAAAAAAAGTCTCTTTATGCCATTAATTTTTATTTTGCTCAGTTGTCTTCTTGTTTGGTAGAATTGAAAATTACTGTACCTGCAAGACTGGGTGGCTATGATCCACGGACACACAGAAGTACACTACTTCGCTTTTATCATACCTGATGATTTTGTGAAAAATGGACTCCAGTCAGCTCCATTAAAACTCAACTGCAGCAAAATGCAGGAAGAAACAGACTATTAAGTGAATTGGCTGTAATGGCTATTATACAACATCATTTTTCAGTGGCCTGTGGTGATGTTAAAAAAAGAAAGACTTCTGTGTATGATGAAGAATATTAAGCAGATTTGAGGTGTTACATTTTAATACTGTATACATATACACATTGCATGTTTATCTCCTGTGCATATAAGGAATATAATT